TTATGTGAGAAAACAAAAGCCTGGTCATCCACACTGCCACACAATGTCCCAGAAGCACACACAACAACGTTTATATATTTTAGTCAAAAGCAAACACGCATTCCTTTGCTTCTCCACTGCAACACCAAGTAGAAATAAAACTATTGTAAACGTCAACAACTATAAAAACATATTTCATGCACAGATCTGCATAGAGAAAAATATCAATAAGTATAATCAATAAAAAAAAACATTTCTCATCACTCATTTTCTTTTCATCATTAGTCAGGAAATGAATAATAGGGAAGGAAATCTAAATTAAAGTCCTTGTATTGGACTCTTGTTTTCTTTGAAATAAGACTTGAAGTGTCTGTGGCAAATACACTGCAGTTTGGGCAGCCATTTAGCCCCTGAGAAACTTTGTTAGTTTGCCTCACGTCAGGTTTTAAACTCACAAACCAAAGTGCTAATTTGCAAACCTCTTATGGCTGATACATACTGCTAATTTGCAAGAACCCTCATTTCTGCAGCTCTAATTTACCAGATGCACATTAGCTAGCCTCCATTACAGTATACACTGATCTCAGCATTTCTGTCCACTTCACAGTTTTCACAGCTTAAACATTCCCTGGCAAACAATTTTAGTTTAGTAGACTTAGATCAGGCAGGTCAAATTATTATTGCAATTGCTAAATTTAACAATATTTACAATGTGAACAAAAACATAAGAATTAAAGAGATATTTAAAGAGAATTTACTCACCCTGAGCTGGTTGCAATCCTTTATGTGTTTCATTTTTTTTTGTTGAAAAGTAAATACATAAAAAAAATGTTAGAAACGTTTAACCATTAAAAAGCAGATACAGATTTTTATTTTTACAAAATAACTTTGTGTTCATAAGAAGAAAAAAAAAACTGAATTGTTAGTTTTGGGTGAACTATTTCTTTATCAAATAATAGTTTGATAGTTGTTTTACCACGACTACTACTACAATTAATACATCTACAATAAAGGCCAATTATATTGGAATGCACAGTGCTCAGCATAATTGAGTTCACCCTGAAAATTAATATTTTTATGCATTTCTCGGTGAAAATAGGCAATGTATTTTGGTGCATTTAAACAAAACAAATTTAATAAACAGATATATTTATCAAAATACTTCACTAAACATATTTAGAAATTGAAAGATGATACAATTAAATTCATGCTAAATATCACAAAAATAAACTACAAGCTACAAAATTTCAACAGGCAACGCTGTGACGCAGTAGGTAGTGCTGTCGTCTCACAGCAAGAAGTCGCTGGTTCGAGCCTCAGCTCAGTTGGCGTTTCTGTGTGGAGTTTGCATGTTCTCCCTGCGTTCATGTGGGTTTCCTCCGGGTGCTCCGGTTTCCCCCACAGTCCAAAGACATGCGGCACAGGTGAATTGGGTAGGCTAAATTGTCCCTAGTGTATGAGTGTGTGTGTGAATGTGTGTGTGGATGTTTCCCAGAGTTGGGTTGTGGCGGGAAGGGCATCCGCTGCGTAAAAACATGCTGGATAAGTTGGCGGTTCATTCCACTGTGGCAACCCCAGAATAATAAAGAGAATAAGCCGAGAAGAAAATGAATGAATAAATGAATGAAAATTTCAACAAATTTGTTTTTATTTTTTATTTATTTATTTTGCTTCTCTTGATTTTTCCTCCTTGTTAAATGTGTATTTAATATTTTTCCTAGAACATAAATTTGGGTGTAATAGTTTTTGGACCATTATCATTAGTTTTATGTTAGATTAGCTCCAGATTTGGCTTCACTACTGACTGATCTAATGTACACACGCAACTTTAATATTGTATAGCTTCCTATTAAAAATATGAATTCAAAAGAGAGATTTGTGAGGGGTGTACTTGTATATGCTGAGCACAGTATATCTGTGACCTGACATGAGGTTTACTTTGCTGTGAAATTCCATGTTAAGGAACAGTAATAGTCATTGAAAGAGTATTTTCTGTCCTTCATTCACCTCACAGCAGCTGATAGGTGGAGCTGCCTTATAACTCCACCGATAACCGAGTCCACAGTTACTAAACCTGGCGTTTTTAAGGTTTATAACAACTGTAAACGCGTTGTCCAGTTCTACTAATGTCAACACAGCCTCAGGGAACCTATACTTTAAAATACTGCCCAAAATAGGTCAGTAAGTCTATATAATCTGCTGAATCAGTCATGGGAATAAATAAACCTCTCGACATTTGAATGACTGGATAAAAGGTGGAGTTAAGAGTAAAAGGGTTTGTCTTGCCTTTTCTGTTGTCGTGAGATGTGACAGAAACGGGTAATGTTGCAAACAAAATTTACAAATGGGTAAGGATTAGGTTTTGGCGTCAGTTTCAGGACTCAGAATGTTTACCGCGCAAACATAACCGCGAAAATATGCTGCCCTCATCATTCCAGCACAGAGGAGTCATTGTAGGAGCTCTACCTGCCGGCGAAGAGAGGAACTGCAGGCGCACCTTACACAGTGAAACGGGCTTTGATGGAGAAAATGCACGACGTCGCATGTAAGAAGCATTTTAGCTGTCAAAATAAATACATTACAGGTTTTAAGTCAAATTAATTATTTGGTTATTAACTAAATAAGCTCCACACTATCATAAACCGCACCCAAGCCAAGATAAGGAAGTATTTGTTAGCTAGATCCAGATTTCTCGTCAGAACATTATATATTATATATATATATATATATATATATATATATATATATATATATATATATATATATATATATATATATATATATTAATCAGTTAAACCAGGAGAATTAGACAGCTTGCTGACCATTTTGCTTGTGTCTTCTAGAATTTAGAAAGCTGCAAGCAATAAGAATGGAGGAGGAGTCAGAGTTGAGTCAGAAAATACCATTGGTTCGTTGGAGGAGTGACGTACAAGGAGCGCTCCCTCTCGCGGCCACGGCGCGTCACTGAAACCCCAGCATCGGCTCAGGGCCCGGGGGTCCTGCTGGACTGAAGACCAAACCAGCTCACCTAAGAGCCCGAGGGACCCCAAAACTAAAAAGACTCACCCAACTCACAAACGAAGAGCTTATTTTAGAAAACACAGGTGAGAGAGCAATTTAAAATGTAAACTATGGCGTAAAAGAATGGTATTTACCAGTCTGATAACTTTTACTTCAGGACATTAAAGGGGCAGTTCACCCAAAAATGACAATTCTGTCATCATTTACTCAGCCTTTACCTGTCTAAAACTGTTTCTTTCTTCTGTTGGACACAAAAGAAGATATTTTGAAGAAATAACTATTTGACTTGCACAGTAAAGTAAATAAGATCAAAACCACTTAAGGGTGAGTAAATAATGAGTAAATTTTCATTTTTGGTTGAACAACCCCTTTAAGCTTGGTTCATCTCAATTAATATTGTTAAAACAACCTAAAATTGTAAATAACCTGGAAAATCAATGAGGTAATGCAAACTGTTATATTTTGTTTAATTGAATCTGTTGAGTTTACATGTCATTTGAATTTAAATGTTATTTTTGTCATTATTAACATAAGTGACCACACTCTCAATATCTAAAATATATAAAAATAAAAAATAGTTGTGTAAAAAGCAACAATTATTGCTTTTCAAATTTAATTAATTTTCAAAGGAGGTGAACTTATGTTGGACACTGGATGTCTGTCGCATTAGTATACTGCGTGAAATATAATATCAAGTGTTTACATCAGGGCTGCACAGTATAGTTTCAGTATCGATATCGCAATATGATCATTTCGCAAGTGTTTTTAAGGCCTGTGACTGTGGGAGATTAAATTAAATTTGATTAAATTGTTTATTAAATGAAGACTATGCAGTATTATTTTACATTTGATTATTCAGTTACTGTATACCTGAATACAGGTTGACTCCTTGGAAAACAATAAAAAGCTGTTTATTTATTTGTACAATTTTCTTTATTTAATTTATCTATGCTTGAAGATTGTTTTTGTTTTATGCACTTGCCTACAAAATCATCCAAATCCATATTTCCAAACGGATATTCAAATCATCTATTAAAATTTTATTCATATTGTAATATATTAGGCATGGATCGATAATCGTGTTCAAGGTATACCGCAGGTGGGAAAGATCAAGGTTTTAAAACTGTCAACATTTTCTGCTATACCATTTCTAAGGTATGAATAAGATTTTTTGGTCACACTACAATAAGGTTCATTAGTTAATGTTAATTAATGCATTTACTAACATGCATTTACTAACATAAAAACAATGAACAATGCATTTACTACTGTATTTGTTCATGTTAGTTAACGTTAGTTAATGAAAATACAGTTCATTGTTAGTTCGTTAACTCATGGTGCATAAACTAATGTTAACAAGCATGGACTTGGATGTTAATAATGCATTAGTAAGTGTTCAATTATGATTAATAAATGCTGTACATGTGTTGTTCATGATTACTTCATGTTAGTAAATGCATTAACTAATAAAGCTTATTGTAAAGTGTTACAGATTTTTTATTTACATTTTATTTAGGACAAGAGCATCTCTAGCAGAAATAATATCCAAAAATGCCATTTTTTAAATTGTAATGAAATCAGCGTTTTTGTGAAGACAGCAGAAGTCAAATGATTTATTTGAATTATTTAGCCTGACATGTTAATTATAATTGAAATATATTGTGTACAAAGGGGAAAAGGGTTTTGTTTTTTACCCAGACATTTAAAAACAATATATTTTAGAGCAGTAATCTCAACACAGTGATATTTATATCTAAGGTTATCATACCGCCAGAATCTTATACCGGCCCAGCCTACAATATATACAGTAATCGCAGAATAAATAAATATCACAATGTTAGATTTTTTAATTATCGTGCAGCCCTAATTTACATTTCTATTTTTTTTTTTAATGCCAAGTATTTTCTGTATTATTCTCACATATTTTATTTTATATAAAGGTCTGGCAGCTGAACTGCATGCGTACATTTCTTAGAGCATATAATAAGCTGACAACAGTACTGTATTAAAACCTTTACTTGCACATGGTACATCCAACAAAACAGATTCAGAATTAATGACAATAAAGCAAAAAGAAAGTTTTTTTTTCTCTTTCTCCACACTCCGTACAGTCAATCCTTTCCACCACTGCTGGAGACAGATTTAAAAACTAGACAAGAAAAATGAAGAGGGAAGGTTGAGGATAGGGGGAAAAGACCCCAAATAACATAACAGTTTACACTAATACATCAGGATACACAAAGATGTAAAGCATAAGAAAAGAGCAGTCAGAAAACATACTGAGAAGCAATATTTTTGTGTGTTTTTTTTTCTTTTGGTGGGAGTAAATTAAGAAAGCTCTTTCAAGTCCGTAATCTCTTAAAGACTCCCAAAAACAATCACCATTTTCATCAGCCCACCCACTTGAAAGTACAAAATCATCTATTATGTAGCCCTCCTTCAGCTGTACATCTATCCAACACATTCCTATATAAAGGAAATCGCACAAAAACATGTCCATGTCACATTTCACCACAAAACCAACAACAACAAAATATTTTTGACATAAGTTCACTTCAGTAATGCACTCCCACATTTAATTATTCATTCCAATTAATCTGAATAGTAATTTCCATTACTGTAGCTCAGCGATTTCAATTTGAATCAGGATAAATAAAAACACTTTGCATAAAAAGTGAAAATGTGCACCTAATGAGATTTTACTTTGCAGTGAAGTATGACTTGGACACATTCTTAAGGTGTTTACATGACAGCCCTGAGATAAAAAAAAGGAAATCTTTTTCATTCCACCCATTTTCAAAATGTTTCACTCCAGAAATACAACCCTTCACGTTGATCAATAGCTGGTGATGTCTCTTTAAGAAGAAACAATACACACCTGTCGAGTTCTCTAGTCCGCCACTGTTGTTTTAATTGTACATGCTACATGACATCACTGTTTTATTTTACACAGAGGCGACGAAAATGGCATCATGTGCAAAAATGTGCGCTTTGAAAACAGTTTCACACTCTCAAATGAGGGTTTGATTAAAGCAGTGGTGTCCAAACTCAGTCCTGGAGGGCCGGTGTCCAGCATATTTTAGTTCCAACCCTAATTAAACACACCTGAACCAGCTAATCAAGCTCTTTCTAGGTATACCAGAGTTCCAAGCAGGTGTGTTGAAGCTAAGCTATTCAAGACACCAGCCCTCCAGGATCGAGTTTGGACACCCCTGGATTAAAGGGATAGTTCACCTAAAAATTAAAATTGCCATTATTCATCCTTCACGTTTCACCTGCTAAACACAAACTAAGACAGTGAAGAATGTTGGAAACTTGTAGCCATTGAACTCCACAGTTTTTGATTTTATTACTATGAAGATCAACTGTGTTTAAAAAAAAAAAAACTCAAATGTTTAGAACCACCTAAATGAGAGTAAACGTTCATTTTTGGGTGGACTATCCCTTTAAATTACAGGTGCCCAAGGAGTTTGGCTCCAACTTGCTTCAACATAACTGCCAGGAAGTTTCTAGTACACCCGGTAAAACCGTGATTAGCTTCAAGTGTGTCTAATTGTGTTGAAGCTAAACTCTGCATGACACCGGCCCTCCAGGACTGACGGCTTTAAATGAATTGAAAAAAAAAATCGTTTTCATTTTTAGCCAACAGCGGTGTCATGTAAACACACGTTTTGTGTAATTCACCTGTGTGAACCCTCCTGACCTTCGCAAACGCTTCCCTCATATCTAACGCAGATCTGTCTTTACATATTCGCTGAAAAACCACAAACGAAGATCAAAGTCAATCAGCTCTCAGACTGTAACGTGCATAATAACCACTTCATTCTCAGGCGGAGATTCATTCAGTTTGCACTGTGCATATTTCAGAGCGCCACTTGGCTTCAAATACACACCCGGGAGGGCTTTTCCCCAACATGTGTGACAAATTGCAGCAACAAGGCCTTAAGAAAAAAATGCACCAACAGAACCCTCTGGATCTCTCTGTCTCTCAGCTGGGTATAAATAGTTGCATTAGGGGTTCTGTTTAGTGATCATCACAGTACACAGTCGACCAGTAGGGGTTAGTTAGGGGTCTCCCGTCGCACCTGTTTGGCAGTGCTGAATCAGTTCAGGTGCATTACGGATAACTGAAGCGTTACTGTCTGCTGTAACAAAACTGAAAATGGTACAAAAAAACCTGCGCAAGGCTTATATATATATATTGTTCATTTCAATGAATGCTTTGCAACCCTAAACTAATTGAGAACTGTTAAAATGTGAGATTATGAAAGAGTTGAGAGGGTGGGGGGATAAAACCTGGACCCCAAAAGAGCTTACAGCGTATGTTTTTAGTAATATGTAGTCAAGCGAAAGTCGATTATGGCAAAAAGCAATCAAGTAATAGGAGATTGGGGCCATTGCACTCCATTTCAAGGAAATACAGTGAAGCGTTTCACCACTTTTGTATGCATCTTTCACATAGACAGGACGCACATACACACACATACCCAAATACACCTACCCCCGTAGGCTGACTGACAACTCTGCCAACACTCGAGTCACCTACGTGAAAGCACAAGCATACAGTGCACAATCAAATGACCTTCCCGCTGTTCCGGTACTGAGCAGACCATCATCGCCAACTGAATTAGCCTCAATTCCTGGATTTATGAAAACTGGGTGGACAAGCATGCAAGAACTCTTTGAGGAGGCTAAACTACTGGGAAGCCAAATTTACTGGACCAGAGGTCAGTTGTTAATCACATTAAAAAGACCAGTGGCCCAACCGAAAACACATGAGGAACAAGTCACAAAGAGGAAGTCTGGATTCAGTCAAATGTCAATGGCTAGCATTACGGAAAACAGTAAAACCCATCAATCCTGTGAACCATCTTACATGATGTACTGCATGATTATACTGGAAAATTAAGCACCTTACAGATGTAAAAAAACACTTCAGATAGCAATATCTGCATATAGCTGGATACTACAATTGATCGTCATGTAGAAGATGGTGTATTAAACAAGAAATTGGCATATCAAATTCAAGCTTATTGAAGAAATTGCATATTTTCACCACAGCTGTGCGTGTCTATTTTGGTGTCAACATTTGTGTCCAAGCGTTGTCATTTTTAGCACCAAAACAGGTGAAACCACTCAATCCATTCTTCTCTATAAAACCTTTAAATACTAGAGTAATTGAGAGTATTTGATCTCAAGTCTCTGCCTAAAAGTACTTTGTTTTATATGCCCATTGGTTTCTGTGGCTTAAACCAATGTTCCCACCATCAACACTGGTGCATTTGCTGGATCTTGTTCAATGGCCTGAATTCTCTCCCTGATGCATGATCTCGATCATTCTCGCATAAATGCATAGATGTTGTGACGGATGCTGGTTTTGACACTTCGCCCTTTCGCACCAACTGCACAACTCCCACAGAGCCCTGCACCCTCATTTCCTGCTGAATAAGACAAAATGGCCGTAGTTTTGAAGGAGGCGACCTGAACAGATGGAATGCAGAAATACATTATCTAGAACTTTTCAGATAGTTTAACAAAAACCGTGCATCACAAACCAAATCAGATTATCCAAACAAAACCAACTTGCACACACACTTGTGCCACAAAAACTGTGTTTTAAGATTGGCTCAAAATATCAAACAGGTCTCGATAATCAAAGACGTCTGTGCCAATCAAACACCAATTTTCCGTGCAATCAGTCAACTTTGACAACAATCTGCAGACTGTCGTTCTAATTCAGCAACAAGCATCGACTCCTCTAGTCTAGACTGTAGATAACCCAAATTAGGCAAAGTCATGTAATGCATCCCCAGCCTTTACACCAAATCAAGATCACTTTTTGTGGTTTTAATACGCCAAAGTTAGTACCAGTTAATTCCAAAGGAGCCTGATGACAATCACAAACGAAAATAGGCCTGCTACACCGAAGACATGGAAAGGGCAAGAGTGGTTGGACATACTTCACAGCACACACACACGGTTTATAAATATTTGTCTACTGGGGGGTATGGTGTGGTTCCATGGTGTGGATTTGGTTCCCACTTGGTGACAGAAAAATGCATCAAAGGAAGGAACTTGTGGGAATAATGAAACGGCAAAGGTATAAGGTCCTCTAGACGGTACCGAAACCAATACCAACACATTTGCTCATTTAAAAACAACACAAAAATAACAAGGTCATCCCTCCTATTGCCACCAAAAAAGCAGGATTCTCCTGCGAGATTTAATCTGTGCCTTTAGGCCCTCCATGGATCATGATCAAAAACTCATGTCCAACAAAACCTCCATACATTTATTCACAAATGTAAAACCCCGGCCTGCATTTCATATGGGCCAGATGCAGCAGGCCAAGAATTTCCAATGCCTTTTATAAATTGGACTCATTTCATGAGTACAGTACAAAGTGGGATCTCAATGTAAAAATCCCAAAAATAGCATGTTAGCAGTTTTCCACAGTCAAACACAAAGGGTCAGGCCTGCCGCGACTTGATTCGTACCAGCCAAAAGGCTTGCCGGATTCTCACCCCAGTCACACATGCACTGTAAATTCAGCCGAAGGGCTGTCTAACTGCAGTGACCCCAAAAACAAAACAAAAGAAAAAAGTACAGTTCGTGCATTCAGAGTAACATAGAAACCAAAACGACACACTGAGATCTCTAGAATCAATACGAGAGTTCTAAAACTGGAAGCTGAAGTCTTTAAAACAAAGCTTTTGATTTAGACCCTCCAGGGAATTCGAAAAAATAAGATCTCTCTGGACAGCTCATACGGTGTAAAACGTTACATGGAAAACATCTCTTTTTTTTCAGACAGCTTAAGAGTCTTTTTTGTGGCTGTACTGGTTTGAAGGTGCGGCAGGGAGAATGTGGAGGAGAGGATTGTGGGGGGGGGGAGGTGTTATTGGGAAGTGAGACACAGTAAAGCCCCAGAGTCCAGGGGGTACTGCGATACCCTGGTGCAAACCGGATTGAATTGGATCGAGACTGGTCCAGGTTAGGTCAGCTGATGAGGCGCTTCAAGCATTTCCATTAAGAAGGTGTCGATTGGGGTGTCTCCAATCAGCTTGAAGAAGAACAGGTGCTCCAGGCACTTGAGGCCAATGGAGCGCAATGCTGGCAACCGGAGAAGAAGCTTTGCAAACCTGAAAACAGAGCGACATGTACAGAAACTGCATTCAGCTACAATAACAGCAGGACATTACAGTGAAACAGTAACAACTCACTTTCCACCACGATTTACCCTTTAAAAAGTATAATAGATTATTTCTTCTGTCATTCAGTTGCTACTGGGGTTATTTAATTATTTATATCAGCAGCTATATATTGGCTATATTAATGGCAACATATGTACTAAATATTCAATATATAATTTATAATCATAACCACTTCTAAATCATTTGTTGCATAACAAAAACATACAAATTACAATGAACTGGGGTTTCAGAAAGGAGAAAAATCATGTTGTGCACCTTCCCTGCTGGTCAGGATATCTCTGTTTACAATAGGCCTCCAGCGATGCATAGACCTTCTCTCTTAGTAACTCCACTTCACTTGGGCTTGACAATCCCTTTGCATCTGCATATAAAATAAAAAGCTGCCATCATGCATCATGAATACGCAAACATTTTGCAGATCAGCAAGAATCTTGTATAACAATAAAGTGGAATGTGAAAGCATAAGAACTTAAGACTTGTGGAATTGTAGTGTTTCACTTGTGTCTTGATCTAAATATAGACTCACATTTACATACTTATATAACACGCATATATAAGTATACAAGAATACGAGTAAAAAATTTGGTTGAACTTTGACTGCTGTAAAGTCTGTCATTAAATTCTTCATTTCAATGTCCAGACGAGGGGAACTAAATGATTCACATACTCCATAATTGTACTTCTCAAAGAGGGAGATTATGTTTCTGTTGCATTCGCATGACTACGGTTTGCTTAGTCAGGACATGTCATTTGGTTTAAAAATATTTTTTTGTTATTTAAGTTAAAATACTACAATACTAAAAGTACCAGATAAAATTACCTTTTAATTTGTGTAACTGGCCAAACATTGATTAAAAATATTTTAGTTTTAAAACAATAAATAAAAACAAAACCAATCAGTGATGCACCAAAATAAAAATTATATACAAAAATCAACAATTTAAGAAAAATCTGGCCTAAAATGACTTGAAATTAACCACTCTTAAAGTGTGTTAATGTTACATTTAATTACATGTAAAACATATTAAACAAATACAGTTCATTCAATAATCTATGAAACAAAAGCATTTTAGACAATATTGCAAAACACTGCGCTCTACATTTGTAATGTGCAGAAAATGGATGCTAAACAGAGCCAGCAGAGAAGTTATTTTAACATCTCTTTGTTCAGGTCAATGATTTTGGTCCGCAACTAAAAATAGCTGGTTTCAGCCAAAATGTTGACATGCAAATACTTTTAGCAGATCCCTAAAGCGAACTAGCACAATTCACACTCTCTTGCCTTCTTTACACAACAATCCTAATAGAATAAAACAAAAGACAACAGTCAATACACAAATATTCAAAGTTTATTTGTATAGCGCTTTTCCCAAAAATTATAGTTTCAAAACAGCTCCACAAAAAGTGTACATTATTGCATTCCAATTTAATTCTGAAAAGTTAAGGTTATTTCTAATTAACTAGTAACTATTAGCTTCATTTATTCATTCATTTTCCTTCGGCTTAATCTCCATTTCAGAGGCCGCCACAGCGGAATGAACCACCAATTATTCCAGCATGTGTTTTACGCAGTGCATGCCCTTTTAGCCACAAGCCAGTACTGGGAAATAACTAATAGCTTTTAACAGAATGTTATTATATATAAACATAGCTAACCTGCAGTTATACAGCATATAGGTGATGCCTATGTACATGTTGAATGAAGTGTATTTGTGTATTAACCTCTTAAGGCCCAAGGTGTTTTTTACATGCATTTTTGATTTCTTTTTGCCATTTGGGCTAATTGGAACCTAATTAGAATAAAACCTAAGTATATTCTTTTGATATGATGTATTTTCAGAGAAAATTATGTCCATATATGTGGACTTGTGGTCCAAATTTACATAAAACATTTTCCCCTAAAGTTCATGCATATATAACAGAAATTTTTTTGGAACATGTTTTGAGTATCAGAGAGTAAAAACAAAATTTTCCCCATTTTTTTACAGTTAAAAATAGTGTTTGGGACATTTCATATGCTGCAAAACAGTTGCAGGATGACACTGTATGTCTATAACAAAATATAAAACATAAGTATTTTAAATAGCCAGTTAAGAGCTAAAGTGTGCCGTCCACAGATGTGGCCTCTAAGGAGGTTAAGTGAATATGTTGTAGGAAATATACAAAAGCAAGGGTTTGGGGGGGATATAGATATTTTATAAAGGCTAACAAGAACAAATATGAGCTTAATATTTACAACAATGGGGTTCTGACCTGGGTTGAATAGGATGATGGCTCTGAGGCATCCCAGCTCCGTTTTATCCATCTGCATGTCCCTCATTTTGCTCACCAGCTCGGTCAGCACCCTGATGCCATTAAAACAGGGACAGGAAAGAGCGAGGGATGCCAAGCAGGAAGGGAACGTCAGGAGGAGGGATAAACAAAACACAGATGATTCACGTTAACATCTGAAATGCAACAAATCAGGCAACAGAAAAAGCTCAATGGAGCCGTTTTCAGAGCCACATTTCAAAATACACAAAATCAAAAAATAACACAACAGACTTCAGAATTTGTCTTAAAAGCAAAACAAAACAAGCAGAAATGCAAATGAAAAAATAAAAAACAAACAGCATGCCATGTAAAACATCAGTCATTCCTGTTAACACTGTGAGTACACGCAAGCAGACACACAGACAAGGTCAGTTTACCTGCCCCAAACAGCCCCAGACATATAACTATATCCAAAAATAAACTGTCTTAAGCTACAGGCTTTTCCTGACTGCTGCTGTTTTTTTGTTTTGTTTATGGCGTGTGGCGGAGTGTCATTACCTGTCGAATATGGCCCCAACCTCTGCATTGTGCGCACTCTCCCTGTGTGTTCAATCACAACGTGTTATTCAAATGTCATTACACATTTCACTGTTATATAATGTCTCCCCGCTCCAGAAAGGCCCAGGCAGAGACGTTAAAGACTCCACAATGTGTTGGCGGTAGGCCCAGTTCAAAGAGTAACAAGCTACAGGCTCTTGTTGAAAGGGGAAGGCAGACGGGCTCATGGGGCGGCAGCAGCGAAGCTTGAAAATGAGAATTCCCAGCACAGAACAAACACAACATAACATGAAGGGGAAAAAATATAAATAAAAATCAGGATCAAACATCAGGGCTCAACAATAACGATGGATGCTTTTAGAATTTATTCACGTAAATGCAACATTAATCTTTATTTTTGAGCAGTGTTTGAGCAGTGTTGTTTGCGAACTCTGGTGTAAATTTGTAAGTAATAATAATAATAAACAAATAAAATAAATTAAGCATCAGTTTTTCAATTATTTCCAGCAATGACAAAAATTCTAATTATTTTATTTATTTATTTATTTTTAAAAGGTAAAAAAAAAATTTACTTTTAAAAATATATTTTCATTTCAGATTTCTACCAGTGAAAATCTAGGAATAAAATAAGAATTTGTATTTTAATGCCATATCAATAGCATTAGCTGTAATCATGGCAACATCTAGTAAATATTTAATATATAATTTACAATCATGACTTTAATCATTCATTGTACAAAAAAAAAAAATACAAACAACACTGTTAAAAAAAAATCATAAAAGTCACTTCAATTTGATTAATAACAGTCAAAAATTTCTCCAGAATAGGGATGCCATGATTAACTGGTTTCTCTATTAACCGCGCTTTAACTCGTCAGGCTTAATCGTAAAGACTTATTAACACCGTGTTTCTGTACAAAACAATACTACTGCAACTTAGTTACGTGAACTGTGCGCTAGTTTGAAGTTCGGAGCTTGTACACAGAAACTAATACGCACACACACTGAATTAATGATAGCTGAGGTTATAAAAGTGCCGTAGGTGATTGTCTTCAGAAACTTTTTTTGTTGTGCTGGTTAAAAGTCTCTTCAGATTCCAATAGAACTAATTAAATTAAATGACCTAAATGTATTTATATGCATTTTAATATTCTGGATAAGGAAAATGCAAATTTGTGAATCTGTGCATCCAGTTCACTAAGATCCGCCAATTGTGCGTACAGACGAGAGAGCTTTTTAAAAACCTGAATCACTATTGGAGTTATTTTTGCAAGCTGGATGAAGGACGACACCATGGCTGAAGTATTTCTTTTAGACAGGTAATGTTCTGTTTTAAAACTATTTTAATCTCGCAAAGCTTAAATAGATTGTTTTGTTTTACGAATGGATGAAATGCACAGAAGTGTTGTTCAGCAACTGACATCTTCCAGCAAAAGATTGATGTGACTATTTTCAGTTTCATAAGGTCATTTTACAGCATTGATAATGTAGATTTTTTATTTAGTTTAACAACAAAACATCAGTAACTATGGCTATTTTGCCTAGCCGGCTTTACTGAGGTAAAGTTGGTTTCATACTCATATTGGTTGATTTTGCTTCCTGTATTGTTCACCATGCTACTCTGAATATTTGGTGTAAAGTAGCATGAAAGTATGGCTTAGTAATAAATGTAAATCCAGCACACCGTCAGCCAACCACTAAGCATCACTTTAGGACAAATAGTGTGACAGAGTGAGACCAGTGATGTCCTATACATAACACAGTTTTCCATTCAGAATCATAGTATTATAAAATACTATAAAGTTTTCTAACTAACGAATGACATGATCTAGTGGGTTGGCTACTGTCATCTTTAAGGTGCGCGTTCATGATTTCAGGAGGTGTGGCTTTGGAGGCAGGTAAGGGACTGTGTTTAGATATACTACAGTTATGTTTTTGGCATCTTTAACTAAGGGCCATTCAAATATTGCATGTTTTGCGCAAGCAAATTTGTTTATTCTAATGGAGGCTATTAGGATCGACATGCACGTAGCGTGCGAGCGGCGCAACATGCTTACGCTTTCCAGGCGCACCTAGTTCAAAGAATGCCGTAAACGCACCACGAGTCGTGGGACAAGAACTGGAAAAATACTAAATGAAAAATAATAAACAATTTTGTAATATAGTTGATCAAAAGACAAAGGCAAAGACAGCAGCCTTTGACTTAATTTGTTCTCTTTAAAAGGGAAATACTTAGCTAATATGTAGCTTAGATTAACATAAGACAAATACAGATTTTTCAATTAATTCCCTCAAGTCTAAAGACAAAGGGAATATTGTTTGTTTTATTATTATTTTGTGCTGTATTATTTGGCTACTAAGCAGCAATAAAATCACTTTTAGATACAAGTTTTCAGGTGATTATCTAAACTAGTGGTGTTTTTAAATGAATGAATGCATAATAACCCTGATAACCATGATTATTCCTATAATCGGACAACCTAAATCTACAATCGTTGCATCCCTAGTCTTGAAGAACCATTTTTAAACATTTCCCTTAAAATAAATTTAAATCATTATGGTTGAGCCCTGTTAAAAAAAATATATACTATTGAGGAAAATAACTGCTCATTCATGTTATTCATTTATGCATCATTGCTTTAGACTATAATATTAAGCAGATTATTAAAATAAAAGCACATAATATGATTCTGAAGACATAACAGATTTTGCACAGAAGGTTAAACAGCATCTAAAGCATGGGCTGATAAAGCAAAGCAGAAAGCATTTGCAAACACACACGCGCACACACACATCACATGGCACCAACAGGATGACAATGAAGCGCTGCAAAACTCAGGTGAGATGGACAGTGAAGCACAAGCACGGGGAGGAGGCTCATTTCTGAAGCAGAGACATTATGACAAGATGAATGGCAACGAAAGACAACTTCATATATGAACATCACAACAAACTGTAGCACAGAACATCTAGAATGAGCTCATTTTACAAAATAAAACAACAGCCTGTAGCTCATTATTCCTGGATTTGCATGAGACAAAGTCCGGAAGTCTTGGGAGAAATGTATTAAATTTGTTCCTTGAAATAAAGAGCTGCTGTGAGAAACAACCAGCAGACTAAGAGTGACGTAACAAGCGTGCACTCCATTAATCATGTAAATGAGAGTGTGTGTTGAGACTATAAGCAGAGGAGAGCACCGGTGCACATATGAAGTGTTTGCATGTGCGTGTGTGTTTTGTCTGTTTGTGCAGTTTCATTCTGTGCAGTATACAGCAGCGTCAAGACGGCAGGCTGTCGGGAAGTTTTTTTTTTGTCATGACACAGGAAAATCCAACCACCTTTGCAGGCTTAAATGTGTCAAAGCAAGAATCAATGCTAGTAAGATTCAGGAGCACCACAAATCAGGGTATGACGGACGATTAATGGCCTAATCCTTTTCCAGACATAAGCATAGCAGGTGACATGCAGATCTGTACACAACTCTAATGAGGAATAGCTAAAGACACATCAATAACTGATATTTGGACTCCACCAAAATAAAAATGTGATCATGTGCTACCATTCAAAAGCCTGAGGTCAAAAAGAAAATTCTGATAAAAATGAGTATTTATTAATCAAGAATGCATTAAACTGATCAAAAGAGCCAGTTAATACAAATAAAGTGTTGTCTTTTGAATGTAGGGCTGGGCGATAAAAACGGTATCTGTATTTTTTGACCGAACACCAATGTCAGATAAGATAAAAAAAATAGTTTGGTATTAAGTTTGGGTATGTAGCGCTATAGTTTTATTAAATTGTGGCTGTTGAGCGCGCGTCTTGGAAAAAATGTCAGTAGGTTTAGGGTGTAACTTTATTTCAATTCGAGGCACGTGACTTGCACGCACAAATAGGAAACGACGCGCACGAGGCGCGCTCGGATTTTCAGGCAACTTGCACCTAATTGAAAACAGTTAAACTTTTCAGAATGCCGAGAGCGCACCACAATTTATTAATTTACACTTTGTATGGAATATCCACATTACAGTAGTAACCTCAGACAAACACAGAGCACCCAAATGCTGCAGTGCTTTTTTATTTTCTCTATAAGTAAAAACTTGTATCGGAACTGTAGCAATGGTTTGTCTGTTTGTCATCTGCTGAGAAAACGGTTGATGGTCACCTAGTTACGAGAGACGGTGAAAAATGGTGAAGGTATTTGCGCGCTTGTGCTTTTCACTTGCGAGTTTTGGGTTTTGTCAAGGGCACTTCAGGTCAAAATAACATGATAAATTGACAAGTGTCATGACAAGCAGCATGGAGACAGTAAATAGAAAAGGATGTAAGGATGTTACCAGAATGGCTTTTTGGTTTCTTTTCTTGTGCATCCCAGTCACTAAAAATTGTAGCATACGGGGTAATAAAGACTTCAACTTCACAATTTGTAATGTAGCAATATGTATTTTAGAATAATGATGGTTGGTTTATTTACTTGAAAGCTCAGATTTGATTATCATAATTTGTTTTGTTTATAGAGTTTGAGGTTTAACGTATCATTAATACTGACATCTTACAGATGTTGATCTACCTTAAAGTTTGCTTTGATTGTTTAGCATTTACAATTTACCATAGCACACATTTTTTAACATTTTATTTATCAAGTCTCTTTAACACTTATGTTTATTTTATAAGACATACGTGATGAGATTTTTTTGTTTGTTTTTTAAAAATTATTATTTTAATAGTTTATAAAAATATTTAAACTATTATTATATTTATAATAATACTTTAACTATTATAACTATAAAGTGGTTAAATAAAAGAAAAACTTAACATTCTTAAATGTACTTAATAAAATAAAAAAATTATCTATACTGAATGTTATGATACATTATATCTTAATATTCTTTGCTATAATATCACCCAGCCCTGTTTGAAAGTTCAATTCAGTTAATAACTCTTTAAAATGCTAGTTTTCAAAAAACATTTATAAGCAAGTAGAAAATAATTAGAATATTAGTTCTGAAAATTAGCAATGATTTTTGTCAAGCAAACAATTGACTTTTATTGATCAAATGAAGGCAGTCTTGATGAGTTTAAGACTCTTTAAAAGCCCACTGACCTCAAACACTTGACTGGCAGACTAAAGTTGAACACTAGCCTATCCTGCCTGCAGTCACGGGACATGACTATTACCTGTCAAAGATGGCTCCCACCCCAGCGCTGTGAGCACTGTTCCTGTGCACATGGAGACCGGTGGCCAGCAGAATGCCATCCTTCACTGTGATGGAGCGATGAGAGAATGATGCGATCAGCAGTTCATTCCAGCCTGACAGATAAAGCAGAGCATGAGTGGGGACTTAATATTTAGAGATATAAATTATTAACAGTGTTTGCTAGGGGAAGAAATCACTAAAAAAACATTTTGCAGCTTCAGATAAATAATTTAAATGTGCAAAAACGTTACACAGAGTGGCAAAAGCAGAGGTAAATGGGTTTACCGGCACGCAGCAGGATGACCTGGTCGTCCAGAGAGAGCTCACTGAAGTGAGGGATCCGTTTGGCCCACTCCACCAAAGTGAACAGCTGTTTATCAGCGGCCTGGCAGATGTTTGTGACCGGGTCGTTCGGCTGAGGAGAATAAAACATGCATTTTAGGTTAAACGTAACAAGAGTAAGAAAAAAGTAAATAACTGAAAAACAGCTGATTCCAATGCAGACCTGTAAATTTATCTGGAAAAAACACATTAATACTTTGCAGACAAGACCCTCATAAAGCTTACCACAAGTGGACAACACTTTTACTAAGTACAGGTGAAATACAGATGAAAAATACAGAGCTTGTCCGCTTTTGATCCCTTCCACAGATAATTCAAAATGAACTGATCGGATTGCATTTGTACTGCAAATACTCATGTGATCAAATGAATATGATAAGCTAAAAAAAAAACACTTCCTGTCCACATGCTGCTCTGACACATGACCATTTTGGCATGTGTTGTGAAAAATGAACTAAAACAAGGTTCAGTTACTTGTTTTCCTGCTTGTGTCATGTCTTAAAGGAGATCAAAATCATGCCTTTTCTCAGAAACCAAAGCAAAGCATTTAAGACACAAGCAAAAAAAAAAAAAAAAAAAAAAAAAAAAAAAAAAAAATCACTGCAAATGGGGAGCACTGCAGCTATTTTTATATCTTGACATTACAAATTACTTTTATTTCAAAACTGCAGCCCAAAAAATACAAATTCACACATGCACAATATAAGCTGTTTTGCTAATTTGTGGTTTTAACTAGATGACTGATGTTTGGAAAAAGCATAGTGTGTGTTCTGGTAGCTTGTTTAACCAAATTATTTTGATGGCATCATTTTGGCTCAGGCAAATTAGTTTTGTAAAGTAATTAGTCCACCATATTACCCCATACCTTACACACCTCCTTATTTGTGTCTTTGGGTGCTAAATTTCCAAAATATTTGCATTAAGATAAGGATTATTAGATTATCAGACTTATTTGCAGGAACGAATCCTTCCATGGCAAGTGACAATTACTGTTTTAATGGTGCTAAACGCTGCTTTGTTTGTGAACTGGAAGTTTGGTTTCCCTTTGTAGTATGAAAAAACGGAATACTGCCACCCTGAAGAGCAGAAAGACATGCCAACACGACTCTAGTTTCAGTTGAATTTCATTTGTTTGGTGTGTTAATGTGCAGCTTTTTGGTCCAAGGCGACAACACGGTTGTGTTTAGTTGGTGCTAGTTTTTTGCAGTCTGCTTTTTTGTGTCAAGGCCCTAATAGGACTGACTGTGTCCATTTATCTTCCTTTTTTTTAAGGATCCATGATAGACACAGTGGAGCAAACTCACCCCGAAACCAAATGAGAAATGGAACTCTAGTACGATTAAACCAAACTCAAGGCAGAGTAGACAATGCAAAGTATCTGCCTTAATTGAGCTCACATTAGTTTGGGCATTTTAATATTTTTTGCTCATCTTGCCACTGTAGATTTTTTGGGGGCCATTTACAATTGGAAATTAGAATATCTAGTCTCTAGAGGCGATAGAACCAGATATACATACTAGTATAGATAAATATCGATACTGAAATATTTATTACAATACAATCTTGCTTCTGGTTTATATCGATAATGGGTTTGCTCTCTCGCACTCTCTCTTCTCACCAAAAGGGGGATGAATAATGAATAATAAATAATAATATATTAACATGTTTGTTTTAATCAGAAAGATGGAGATTGTATATTTTTTATTTGTTACCTTTAGACTTAAGGACTGTTGACAAACCTGGTTTAAGCATTATACGTTTTAATTATTTGCTTCCCTTTTACTTTATTTGCATACTTTTAATGTGGCGGGATTTGTTTGTTTTAAGGTATCAAAAAACAAATAAATAATGAAATATTTTCAAGGTGTGGTATCGAAGTTGGAAATTCCAATATCATGCATCAAATCAAAACTCTAACATGAATAATGTTTCTATTCAACTTCCTGCTTTTAACTAATCCACCATCTCACTGCCAATGGGCTGCTACAATTACAGCTCAATCACCTTGAAGATCTCAATCACGTAACAAAATAATCCCAGCACTAAAGGTCAATAATCCTCCTTAACACGCTTATGGGTTACTTACAGAGCTTCCCCCTGAGCTGCCATCAGCATGCAGCTCAGTCTTCTGCTCTACAGCCATCTCTGCCTCCAGAATCTTCTCCACGGGCATCTCCTCATTGGCAGCGCTGGAGGACTCCACCTCTCCATCGCGCTCTTTGTTTCTCTGACGCTCCTCCTGAACGGCTGCATCGCACACAGGGAAATGAGGAAGAGGAACAAGACGGGGAAACGAAGATGAAGGGCAGAGTGCAGGATAGTGTGAGAAAGACCAACATAACGGGGGAAAAAAGAACGTGAAAGGGGAGGGGGATGAATGGGTAAAGCGGTAAAGATGGAAACAGATGTAGAGAGACACAGAGATATACAGATACATGTAGTTCCTGGTTAGTTTTCAACACATTCATTCACACACACGCACACATTCAAAGTCCTCCAGCAACATTCCTTCTTCCATGACCCAGAAAAGGCTACAAAGTTGCCTTATCACACATATTCATGACAACATTCTCACATGACTAATGTTTCTGCTGCATTCTGTCATTGAAAGGGGATCATACCATGTGGAAGCAAAACATTGATGCATAACCTTCAAAAAAAATAATTTAGAGAAACTAATCAGCAAAAAATAAAAACTTCTGCATCTGTCTAATGGCCTGTTTCCACTGAGTGGTACGATACAGGATCACCTTTATCAGTCTTGTTTCCACTGCCAAAAGGGTACCAATGGATTGGTGGGCGTATTGTCTGATGCAAAGTTTTAGTCATCGTCATTTTCGCTCGAGGAAATGTCAACGTAAAGCTGTACGGGTCGTTCACATATCAAATGAGAAGCACTTCTCACAAAACAGATGCTTTATACACAGAAATACTTGTGTATAAATGTTCATTAATAACCTTTCTATGAACATGATTTGATTATAACTGCAGATCAATAATGTGAAATAGCCTACTGTAACATCTGCAATAATATGAAACAAATAAACAACATATATGAACACATACAGACCCTTACAGTCTCCAATACATTACAGAAAAACTACACACAGCATACATTTAGTACTTATTTGGATACAACAGTGCAAACCTCTTATCTGCATCTTTAATCTTCACCAGCACATGTATCCCCTTGTTAGAAAGTTTTTTTGTCATTCCGAGTTCGTAATAGCCCAAAAGGTGATGATAATAGTTAAACATGGCAGTTTGTTCATATTTTAGGTTGCTAAAGGCTAAATTCTTTGTTTCTTTGTTTTTTCTGACTTTTCTTTTGTTTTTTGCGCATCACTTATGCATTTGTCCGTTTCTGAAAGGATCAGATGTCAGAGGTGCTTCAATAATCATGCACACTCTATTATCACCAGGTCAAGAAGTTTGTCATTTTAAATATAGACGCACGGCAAGTGCAAGCGAGAAAGCGAAACCACGCTTCCTTTAGACAGCCTTGTAAACAACTACGGGGCACAGGGTAGTTCTGCTCTTCTTGGCTTTGTGGCTGTTGATCTAGATGATGACATGGTTTGTTTAAGCTCGGGTTAACCATGGCTTGTTATTATCTATTATTACTGTGTAATGTCTCAGCTTTGTATTTAAAAAATGGCGATTCTTTGTTTTTATTCTCCTGGCTTGTGTATGAGTTAGTGACGTATCTCTGTAAACCAATAGCGTTCAGCTGCGTGTCTTTCTCCGCCTTTCTGTACCCTTTTGTTGTGCTAGGAAACCTTTCTAAAGGGTACCAAAAAAGTTGTATGGTATGGTTTGCTTTTTGGTACCTATTGACCGTGGAAACGGCTATAAAAGCGTACCGAACCACACCATTCAGTGGACATGGGCAAATAGAAGACACATGAATGTCAATAGTTCAGATGGGAAAAAGAAAAATGAGTGCATATGGTCATGGTAATTACAAAATGGCAAATGGATATTATTACTCTTAAACACCAAAAATCTAAATAAATATCAATACAATATATTTAAATACATTTTTATATATATATTTATAGGAAGTAAAATGTGCTGTTTTTGTCTGTGTAGTACCTAATTCTCAATATTCATTTTAACATTAGAAATACATGTGTCAAGTTAATTTTTAAAGTCATCTAATATTATATCAGTCTGGCAAAGAAGGAATAGTTCACCCAAAAATGAAATATCAGCCATTATTTACTTATCTTTATTTGTTCAAAAGCTATTTGAGTTCCTCTTCTCTGCTGAACAGAAAAGTTATTTCGAAAAATGCCGGCGATGGTAAACTTTTTCCTACTGTGGAAGTCAAAGGATACCATCAGCAAGCATTTTTCAAAATACAAATGATGGAAAGTTCTTTTTTTGGGTGAACTTTGCCTTTATGGATCATTTGGAAAACAAATGACTTGAAAAACATTGTTTAGACAGTAAAAGGTGGATAAATTAAACCAGCACTCTACGTTTAGCTTAAAAAAATGTTCTAACACTCAAAGTGGATCTAAAAATAAAAAATAAAAGATGAAATGAACGCTTTAATGGATGTGACTACAATTCTACAGAGCAATCCATTCATCATTTCCACATACTCTCTCTCTCACACACACAAACATACATACATACACACAAGCACCCCTCCCTCCCTCCCTGCTTTCTCCTTACATCGTTGTCGTTCATCTTGGACCACTACAGAAGGAGAGGGAGGAAGAGAGAGAACGAGAGGAAACAAAAGAGGGAGAGAGGGGGACATGTGTTAGTGGTGACAACAGCCCTCCCTCCCCCTCTCCTCTCCTCTTCGGTTTGTGCTGTGATGTCTATGATCATGCCCTTTTTAACATCTTATGAAATCTACACGTCTCTGCTATAGCAACTGTTAGAGCTGGGCGATAAAACAATATTGCTAAATATATAGCGCACAATATAGCGTTGATTTAATGTTTGCATAATAATATAGCATGTTTGCTTTAATATTTTCATAATGTTAGAATATAGCATGTTTCATTTAATGTTTGCAAATCACACCAAACCATATTTAGGTTCGTTTGAATGTGCACATTTTTTTTATTGATTTTAAGTCAAGCTCTTAAGAGAAGTGCTAGAAATTAGCAAAGATGAAGGCATGCTAACATTCTCAATACTGCGGACAAACAAAGCACGGCCCCATAAGCAATTCAGTTGAAGGGGATTCCACTGATTTACTGTAGTTTTAGGGCAACATTGGAAGATTATACAGATGAAATTTTAGTATTAATGTACTAAATGAATAATAGAATGAAATACAGCAATTGATGTTTAAATATGGAAATAGTGTATTTGAGTTTATTATATAATGTTTATTTTTATTATTTAGTAGTATTTGGTAGTAGTAGTTTTTATTATTATTAATTAATCTACAGTAGATTATTTATTAACAATAAGGATTTAAGCTTACTTGAAAATATTTTAAAACATAAATATTGCACCTCAAACTTGTGATTATACCTGTGTTCATGTTCTGAAAATAAAAAAGGTAAAATAACTGTCTGGTTTGACCAACTTTTATCTAGACCAGAGATGCCCAAAGTAGGGCCTGTGGCCCATTGTAACCTTTGATTTGGCCCACCATCCTATCTGAGAGAAGAGTGAGTATGATGAAGAGGGTTGGGGCGAATGCTTTTAACACAGAGACCATCATTTCTAATTTGACAACCTTTTTTGTTTGTTTTGAGCTACAAAAAAAACAACAACCTGAAATTACAAGTTCCATTCAAATGTTGCAAATACAGTCACTTGACAGGTAGAAGACTATGCAGAAGACATTGGTGAGCAAATCAAGGCAAAAACTAGTGTAATTCTGTTATAAACTAGACTGTTTTGTTTTTACTGTATTAAGTTCATTGTATTACTGTATTAGTAATATAAAGCAGTGTTTTCTAGTCATTTTTAAACATCATTAAATAAATTATGAAAGTATCTAACTATTGTGAACTATATTGATCAAGTTTAGTTTTTGGCCCTTCAAAAGAGAAAGTTTGGGCAGCCCTGATCTAGGCAGACCAAAAAGTTTTAAAGCTTTGTGTATGTCAAATCTTTGTCGTAAATATGTTGGTCCATCTTTGTCCAAATTAACCAAATTCTGCAGCATGTAGTTGCATGGGTAAAAAGCTTATTATTTTTCTGTTTCCAGCTTGCACCCATGCATGCCTAATTTTAAGAGATCTGAAATTCTACAACAATGGAGAAATGATTCAGAATTGTTAGAGAAAGAAGAATCGCAATGCTTCTGTGAATCACTTCTTTTTTTTGGTACATCCACCGCTAAAATTTAAAATATAAATATAGTACCTCAGATTTGTGATTGTACCTCAGATATTGTCATGTTCTGACAATAAAAAGTTAAATTAATTGTCTGGTTTCACCAAATTCTACCCAGACATAAAAAAAAGTCTTTAAGATTGGAAATTTATTGTTATAATTATCAATAATGATCTTTTTTTTTAGTTCATATCGCCCAGCCCTACCCGCTTTTGTGATTACTGTTTTGATTTGGCTACATTTTATTAAGCATTAACCCCTTATTTATCTCTCTTAGTGATGGACTAACATTTTGGCCAAGTTAATTTACATAAACTAAATAAAATAAATAAATACATAGATTTCTGCAGGTTTTGGCTACATCCACATTTCCATTAAATCCTACACACTAATTCTCCTATCAAACACTATCACTGCACCACTACATCACAGCAAAACATATTTCACATTACAAGTCTTTCGGCTGCATCATATTCATGTTAATACAAACACTGTGACCGATGTACTGTGATTTACAAACAAATGACTATTAAACACAGGGCCACTCATGAGGAAAGAAAACACTGACATCACCCACTTCAAACCCCTTATAGGTCACCACCACCACCAGTGAAACTCCTATTGGCGTCTAATATGTGTATGTGTAAGGTTGTCTTCTTACCTTCTCTCTTCATCCCCATGGCCAGGCACTTCTGGTAGCGGCAGTACTGGCAGCGGTTCCTCTGGCGCTTGTCCACCAGACAGTCTTTATTGTCTCTGCATGTGTAGCTAAGGTCCTTCCTCACAGTGCGCTTGAAAAAGCCCTTGCAGCCCTCGCAGCTGTACACTCCATAGTGCTTGCCTGGAGAGAACAGACGCCAGGTCAGTTTGTCGAGGTGGAAGATTAGTCACCAGATTGGAGAGACCCAATTTAGACAATTTCATAATGTTGTTGTTATGTAAGTGTTACATCATGAAATAATGTAAACGAATCAAAGACAAGATGGACGATTTTTTTTGCAATAAATTACTCGATGTGGGAATCTTTAGAGAATTCAGATCGTGACTTCCAGAATTGGATCAGATTATGATTCCAAAACAATCCTTGACCTACATTTTCCCCATTTTCTGGGCTCTTCAAATTGACCTTGACTTTTTTATTTTTAAAAGAATTATTTTTGGGGGTTTTCAGCTTTAAAAATGTATAGAACTGTAGAGCAGGGGTTTTCAACCTTTTAGGACACGTGTAAATCTTACACCTTATTTGCGGATAATCCTCCGGTTTGTCACAGGAGCATGAATGTTCATGAGTGAAGGTGAAACTGCCGAACTGAAATTACATGAAACTCTTACATGAAAGCACTTCACGTAAACAACTTAATTATATTATTGTCTATTAAGGCAAATAGTGATGTAATAGAAAAAATTAAATGTAAGCGTAATCAGTAGTGTCTCAAGTTAGTGAAAGATCTGAAAGGGCATCCTGCTGATTTTATTCAGATGGCTCACCAGTTTTACTTTCATTCGCCATCAATCATTTTAAAAAGCACCAGGTCCTTTTTTTTGTTGTTTATGTTTTACTCAAATGCATTAACTCTACAGGGGCCAGATAGTTAGATGTGCAGCTAACATTAATCAGATTCACTCTTGTGAACGCGTTAAAATCGTCATCATAATTTCCTTGAGTGCACGCCTCAAATGTCTCACAGCCCCCTTAATAGGTGCTGGTGCCCCACAGCTTGAAAACCCCTGCTGTAGAGATTACAAACAGGAAAGTGAGGAGAGCAGAGAAATGGAAAGGATCAGCAAAAGACCTCAAGCTGGGAATCGAACTCGGGTCACTGTGAGTACTTCTGTGCTATATGTGGACACACGAAACACTAGGCTGTTGGCGCTGACAGATCTTCACCTTTGAATCAGAATTTGAGTTTCAATGCTTTTGATTATAATCGAAATCTGTTTGACAGCACTGCCATTACAAAACATTTTATTTTCTTAAAGCTATATTTAGCATGAAGAAGGTCTGAATGAAACGGTAAAGGGCCAAATCACAAAGAGTCATTATAAAGAACAAACCATTGTTAAATTTATATAAATAAAAAAAGCAAGAGCTTTCTTTTTTGCAGTTTGTTAATAACCTTTTAAACTAAGTAATGCCAAAGAAAAAAAATATATTTAGGAATTGTTTTTGTTTTTATAACATTCTTTAGCAATTCTAAACTGAAGCTAGTTGCACAATGGATGAAATGTGCAGCGTCTATAAAATTCTTACATTTATCCATCTTTGTCCAATTGACGCATGTTTAGCAGTATAGGTTTATTATTTTTAATGTATATTATTATATATATGTATTATATGTTTATTATTGTTTCGAGCATGCACCCACACAGGCTTAATTTGAAGAGAACTGATTCTGAAGTTGAGAATTATTCAGAATGGTTGAAGAATCGCAATGCTTCAATGAATCAATTTTGTCTCTCAACCCTAAAAGTTGCATTCAAAAAACAGATTTTATACACACAGAAATATATTAAAGTGTTTACATCATAGTCTTAAAATAACTTCTGTGAACAAAATTTACCAAAAAAAAATGGCCGAAATCATGTTACATTATTATAACACATGTACCTGATAAATGAAATGTTAAAATAAATCAAATTAAACGACATTCTTACTAACTTTTATTTTAAAATGTCTTCTTGATTAAAAGGTAATAAGGCTGCACTGTAATAGAAGTATGAAGTGAGTCAGCATTTTTTTATTAAGTAGGTGTTTTCCGATATAAAACTTCCGATTTCACAAACCCAAACTGATGATACTATTGACCTTATTCTTCACATATGAGCAGGTGCAGTCATTGGAATCTTTTTTGGTTCAATACTTTTGGTCTCATTCACTTCCATAGATATTTAGATTCTGAAAGCAGCTTGTTATGCTGGTTGACATTGCAAACTGATATTTTCTGATATATTATTGTACTTTTTTTAAGTATAATAATAAACACAATTGTTTGTAGAGCTAGTAGTCTGAGCGTTTTCTGCCATGTTATATTCCTAGTCATCTAAAACAATTGCAAAAATGGGCACATTTCCGCTTTACAGAATAAGGTCAATTCCTTTTTAGGTTTGCAATTTAACTCAGTAGCTAAAAAGAACATGTTCATGTTTTATTCAGAATGCTTAATGTGATGTACCAGAGGAGCGGTCTCCACAGATGGCACACAGGCGTTTCTGTGAAACCATGGGTCCTGGACTGTGAGAGGACAGCGGCTTCAAACCAAAGGGTGGCTTCACGTCATCGGAGCTGCTGACGGCATGCAGACCTGACATGGACACGGTGGAGTTGATCTGAGGAGGATGATGATGAGACGTCAAGACGAAAAACAGACATAAAGTGCCAGAAAAATTGCATATTAAATTATAGATAAATGACATAATTCTTACATTTTAGTTAGTGTTAAAAATCAAACGATAACAGAAAAATACATGTTAATTTTTTTATGATAATTAATTAACTGATCATGACCAGACATTTCTCCCCAAATCATTCAAGCAGCATTTCATCTCAAATAAAACCCTCTGAACACATGATCAACTTTTTTGATTTTATTTTGATGTAATCTGAACACAGCCCTTCACAAAAAGATGATATTTAATTGTCCAAATTGAGCATTTACCAGCAGTAGTAAAGAGAAAAAGAATATGCAAAAGAAAAGCGACTAGAAAACGAAAAAGAGCATTGGAGAGCGAGGAACTGAGCGAGGGTACAAGGTCTCACCTCTGCGTTTCTGGGAAACATGTTCATCTGTGAAGCAGAAATGCAGTGATAAGGAGCGCACAAAAAAAGCTTCTGGATTGAGGGTTTAGCTGCTAAAGAATCACTAAATCCACTATGAAATTTAGTTTGTTAAGAGTAAAATTTAGACTGCCAAAAAAAATCTGGCTTAGATCGGCAGAAGCATACCTGAGAGACTTTGGAAATTAAGGTCAAAATACCAGAAGCTCTGTTAAAGATTAACAGTTTTAGAGGGAAACGCTACAATTATCTTGGTGAATAAACTGGGATTTTTTTCAATGAATTTGTTCGCATAAATAGAGAAATTTGTATACAAATGCAAGTACTGAAAGACAGTAATTGTGAAATTTGTAAAAGCTTATTTCATATAGTTCAAAATATAATTTTACAGATAAATTTAAAGCAGCTGTTACTCCTGTACTCAGTTTCACATGATCCTTTTAAAAAAAACATATTAATATTAAAATTTGTGCTTCATTAATATAAGTATTTATTCTCAAAAACTTTCTGACCTTAAACCTTTATACTGTAATATACATCGCAATGCTGATAACTTAAAGGGATAGTTCACCCAAAAATAATTTCACTCATTTACGCTCCCTTGTTTAAAACCGGCTTGTGTTTCTTAATTGTTTTGAACACAAAAGATGATATTTTGAAAAAACCTGCAACCATTTACATCAAAAGTATTTGTTTTTACAACTATGGAAGTCAATGGTAACAGGTTTTCAGCATTCTTCAAAATATCTTCTCGTGTTCAATCGAAGAAAAGAAACTCAAAGACTTTTAACCACTCAAGGAGAGGTAAATGGTGAGTTAATTATAATTTGAGTGAACTGTCTCTTTAACTACCGTGCAGCTTTCTGACTGTCATCATCATCTAAATAAAATAACATGACATAAATCTAGTACTATCATGGTATTATCATGGTATAAATCTAGTATTATAATGGTAGATTTACATTTATAACCGCTTGAGGGATATTAAATGAGTAAACTTTCTTTTTTGAGTGAACTATGCCTTTATCTACAGTGCAGCTTTCTGACTGCAATCTCCATGATATAAATAGAAAAATAGACTTTAGTATTATCATGGTAGAAAATCTAGTATTATCATGGTAGATGAAGATATACAACCACCTGAGGGGGTGTAAATGAGTTTATTTTTGAGTGAGCTATCCTTCACCTACTGTGTATCTACTTTATTATCTAGATACAAAACATAGACATAAAAATCTAATATCATCATGGTATTATCATGGTAGAAAATCTAGTATTATCATGGTAGATTAAGATTTATAAGCACTTGACAGGTTATTAAATAATTTGTTTTTCATTTTTGAGTGATCTACTGTGCAGCTTTCTAACTGTAACCTTTAAAAAAAGAAAGAAGGTGACTTAAATCTAGTATGATCATGTTCTAAAAATATCCTGATGGCAAAAACAAGCTGAACTCTTTTTCTTTGAGTGCCCTCCACACAGAATGAAACCCTGCTGAAAAGCTGCTCACCTGTGGGCTGCTGATGGGGCCGTAGCCCACCGAGGGAGTTCCAGGAAGGCAAGGAGACCCCAGGGATGAGCTGATGACCGAGAAGGGTGAGCCCATGCTGCTGATGGGGCTGTTCACAGCCGAAGTGATGGGTGGGAGAGAAGTCATGGCGGCAGCTGACGGGGCCAACGGGGGCGAACGCTGACCTGATGGTGGTGAGGAAACGGATGAACTGTCTGGACTACGAGAATCTGTGAAGACAGACAAAAGATTATACACTGAATACAAACTGGACAATCAATTTAAATAGATGATACATGGCTTATTTTAATTTACTCTCCCTCGGGCCATCCAAAAGCATCCGTAGATTAGAACAACACAAAAAGATTTTAATCTGAAATTGTGACCTTTTAGTGATTCATTAAATGAAAAAAAATTATACAGGCAAACAAAATAAATACCTGAGGCTCCTGATGATACACTGCGGTCTTATGAAGCAAAACGATCAGCCTGTGCAAGAAACTGAATATTATTTATAGAACGGCTAGGCGATAAAACAGTAACGATAATGTATCGCTACATAATTTCGCCCAGAAAAAGCAACAGTATTCCTATTTATTCTTAATATATTTGACCAATCATCATAAACACCAAACCAGTTACATTTCAAGATGGATGATATTAGATATAACAATATTTAAGATTACTAAAATCAAGCACACACACTATTTAAATATTTGATCATGTTTGTTTTTATTTTACTGAACATAAATTCACATCTGCATTGTGCCTTTTAAGTCAGAAAACAAACTGTTATAGGATTTGATATAAATATTAGAACATGCTGAAATTAGGAAAATCATTTCTCTTATAAAGATTTTAAGTTAATATTTATACATTTTATAAATACTGATACATTGCAAGTCAGATTTGTCAAATGTCTATCTAGTTGACTTGTTTGTCACATTTTTACAATATAAGAGTTGAAGTAAAAATGAAAAATCTGGTTTCTAAAACTCACACTCAAAAGCAAAAATACACCTTTAAATTGGAATGAAATAGAGATTTGACATTTACCTTGACAGCTATTGATAATGACCCAGCCCTAATCCTTTAATCTACAGCCTTGCCACACTACACCATAGTTGATAATGGCAGTCTGGAGCAAGAGCACAAGTAAATACCATTTAGATTAAAAATTATGGCTGCATAATATATCATTTCAGCACAGATATCGTAATGTAATGCATCACACAGTGTGCAAATTTGAGTCTGAATTCTATTTTACCAGGAGCTAAAAAAATGTATTTAATTATTGTATTTATACCATTTAATAAACGAAGAAGAAAAAAGTCTAACTTTAATTTTTGTTGTTTCTTGTCCAAATATCTACATTTTAAAGTGAAAACAAGATTATATTACTTATTCCACTTTGACTTGCTTTAAGAATAAAAATGCTTAATTTTTATTTATTTCTTCTAAAGTTGAAAACAAAACAATTTTTTACTTGATTGAAATTGTTTAGATATTTGGACTAAAAATTTTGGGAAATCATTTTGCATTGTGATTATTCAATTTCTGTCTTCAGTACTGATATGCTTGATAACAATACTATTAATGTGTTCTTTCTCACAATTGTAAACAAACAGCAAGAGCTTGAAAGCAAATTTAACTACGCACAATATATTTTTTAAGCGTATGCTCCAGATTGCCATGTAAATCATTACGCTGTGGATGTAATAATGTTGTAATAAATGTTCAGTTTCTTGCACTGATCGAACATTTCCCTTTACAAGGTCACAATATATTAACAGGAGCCACAAGTGTTAATCTTGTATACCTGTATTCATCTTTTTTAATTCTCAAATTTCAGATACAGTGGCTTGACGTGTATTTTAAAAACATTAGGTTATCACAGTTTTACCTAAAATTAGTCATAAAATATTTTAATGAATAAAAATAAATAAATACACTACACTAAATAGCCAGAGATAAAGATTCCTAAATTTTTGCGGGCCTTGTGCAAAGGTTTGTCTTCTGTAATAGAACTCAGGCAAACAAAGCTATATAAATTAACCACCTTAACAATACTACAGTCATATAAAAATCATATTCTGGCTATTAAACCTTAGAAATGGCAATTAAAAAGTTTACAACTCCAAGTGTAAATTTCACCGCGTAAACATGGAGCCACATGTAGGTATAAAAGCAAAACAGTCTCACCTCTGCTGTCGCCCATGTTGTGCAGCCGGGCTCTGCTGTTCACACCGACTCTCTCGCTCTGATGTCGGGTGGCTGTCGAACTCAAGACCGCGGACTGAGGCCCGGGCCTTTGGATCTTTTACCAACCGAAGTGATCCCTGCAGTTCCCAAAACACCGCGTAAATGATACCAATGAACATTTAAACAAATAATATATAGATATAACTAGTCGTTATGCTTTAAAACATGTATATTACATTTCTATGTAAACATGCCAAAAGCTTTAATTTTACGATCAGTTGCGTGACTTTTAGCAAACAAAAAATTGCATTCAGTGAATTCTGCATGACATTAGTTTGATGAAATAGGACTATTAAAGGGAAACCATGTCAAATGTAATTTTCAGTATCGGCTAGCCGATTAGCTTGTAATGGTAACGTTAGGTTTAATGTACTAGTAAAACAAGTGTAATTTCCCCCTCTTAAACCTGATGAAAGTACATAATTAAAATCATTGATTGCGTTTTAGTAAACGACAGTTATTTATATTAAGAGTGATACGTGTTAAAACACATTTTTATTCGGCTAATCGACTCAGTTAGCATGTTAGCTAAACGCTAATAACTCTGCAAGAACAAATTACAGCTCGCAAACAAACCTCGAAAAAATACAAATACGAGTATTATAATACAAGTAATAACATTATATACCTGTCGGGAAATGTAAACAACAGCAGCATTAACCCGAGTTACGTTAATGCGATAAAGATTTATGTTTAAAATGGCTTATTTAGGGCCGCGACTCTCCGTTCCCATCTCTTCGGTGTGATTCTCACAGTTGCCCTGTTCTTCCTTTCTGAGGAGGAAACTGAAGCTGTTTACGTCCGCGCATCGAAACCGACGCCATTTTGGCTCATGCGATAGACGATTCGAGCCAAAATGTCTAACTCCAAATTTAGTTTTCTGCAGTGAAAGTGCATTTATGTAACAGCCTGAGTCATTCTTTCAAAGTGTGTCGCATTAACTTAACACATTAATATACAACTTAATACAGACGTTGTTCTAAATTTACAGCTATGGAACTGGATCTGGATTTTTTACTCTAAATTTAAAGTAAAAACAATGTTAGAAGATGGGAAATTAATATTTGGGGCAGTATTCTTAATTTTCAACTGCAACAAATTAAAACTATTTGTCATTCAGGTCAATTGTCATTACTTGGGAAAAAAAACATTAATTGACATTATATTAAACACAAATATTGGCTGATGAGATCTGAGAAGAAGCCCTGTCGAGAGTAAAGAAAGGGTTGATAAACTCAAGATGTTAATTAATATAATTTAAAGTTTTACATCGCCTTCGCTTCTCTAAAACCGGATAAAGTAAAACAATTCCCTCTGTATGGAGAGGGGCCTGGCTGCAGACGCAATCTGCATGCAATGCTTTTGAATGGGCTCACCTGACCCCTAACCTTACCCAAAAAGACTATAGAATACACTATATATATATATATATATATATATATATATATATATATATATATATATATATATATATATATATATATATATATAGGGACTTTGTTACCATCACAGTGACGTCACTAGCTCAATTGAGTGCATTGTGTATGACATTTCCTTTCTGACAGATCCAATCTCAGCTTGCATCATTAAGGCTGCATCCGGATACTGTTGTCTGCATCTCCTAAATGTGACAGTTGTGGTGGGGCAGAAGGGACTTTGGCACAATCATTTTGAATTTGTCCTGTTTTGTTCCAACATTTTTGAATTGTTTTACAGTGCTTATAGACCAATATCCAACCTGATTACAATTTGGTTATTTTTGGATATTGTAATATAATAGACACCTTTCCGTTAACCCAACAGCAAGTCCTGATGCTTGGCATGACTCCAGCTAAAAAGATAATCAATTGGAAATCTCCAAAAGCTCCCTGTTATCAGAGATGGTTAAACGAGTTGCTTTATGTCATTCAAATGGAACAACTACATCTTGAAACTTAAAAGCTGAAACCACAAAAGGGCCTATCATTTTAAGTTTGTAAATCTTCACCTTTATTTCTAACCTACTGTATAAATTTATAACACTACACTGGCTTTGTAAAAATGTGAGTTTTGTCATCTCTTTTATACACACACACACACATATATATATATATATATATATATATATATATATATATATATATATATACACACACACACATATATATATATATATATATACACACACACACATATATATATATATATATATATATATATATATATATATATATATATATATATATATATGGTAACAGAGATGATCCCTCCTTTTTTTGGTCGGATTTGGGGTGTTATTTGGTATTGTACTACTTTGTTAAATATTTTATAAATGTTAATTAAAACAAAATATTACAAAAGCACAAATATTAACACTTCCCTCAAACCCATAACTAAGTGCACTCTTAATTTTTCTCATCAAAATTTTCCATCAATTTGCCTTCACAAAACCCATTCATTTCAATGGCTTGCGTCATGCAAATGCCAGTTCGTTTCAATGGATATTTTTGTCTCTTTTAGACATTTTCTTTCTGTACAACCAAAATGAGGCAATTTAAGAAAACAATAACTTACCTATATTTGTAGATCTTATGTGCTATGATAAAGTTTTACTGTAATATCAAATATGTGCAGTTTACAGTTGTGTTCTTGTACAGAAAGGATATATTGAACATATCAAAACCAACAGTAAATAAATGTTTTCATTTAAATAAATTTAAATCTACAGTTTATTCAGTTTATCTACTGAAAAGCAGGTCGCACACCAGAAGCGCCGCTCGGCGCCGCGACACGGCGCGTACATGACAGTTTAAGGTATCACACACCAGACGCGCACATTCGAATGATATTTAACATGAAACTAATCAGATGGCGCTCTGTGGCGCGGCTGAAAAATGAACTGTGTCCTGAGCCGTCGCCGACAGCCGCCGACTTGCGGCGCCGGTGTGTGTATCCTGATAGAAACCTATGTTTAGAATTCTAAAATACATGGCGCTGCGCGGCGCGCCGCCGAGCGGCGCTTCTGGTGTGCGACCTGCTAAAGAATCCTGAAAAATTGTCCAAGTTCAAACAAAAATATAGCAGCACGACTGTATTCATTATTGAAAATAATAATAAATGTTAATTGAAGAGCTCAGTGGTTAGCACTGTCGCCTCACAGCAAGGTCGCTGTTGTGAGCCTCGGCTGGGTCAGTTGGCATTTCTGTGTGGAGTCCAAAGACATGCGCTTTAGGTGAAATGGGTAAACAAAATCAGCCTTAGTGTGTAATTGTGTGTAAATGAGCATATGTATGGGTGTTTCCCAGTATTGGCTTGTGGCTGGAAGTGCACCCGCTGCACAAAACAAATGCTGGAATAGTTGACGGTTCATTCCGCTGTGACCACCACTGATAAATCAGAGACTAAGCCGAAGGAAAATGAATGAATGAGCAAACTAAGCATAACAGAATATATTAAGAACTCTGTGACATTTACGGACAAATTGTTTGTAACATTATTAATTTTCTGTCCAGCTTAGTCCCTTTATTAATCAGGGGTCGCCACAGCAGAATGAACCGTCAACTTATCCAGTATCCGGAGCACCTGGAGGAAACCCACGCAAACACGGGGAGAACATGCAAACTCTACACAGAAACGCCAACTGACCCAGCCGAGGCTCGAACCAGCAACCTTCTTGCTGTGAGGCGATTGTGCTACCCACTGCGCCACCATGACCCCCAATAATTTGTAATATTATTTTAAATATTTTTCCATATTTTCCCTCACCCAAAACTTCTCTTCTACAGTGAATCCTCAAACATTTCAGTCAATATCACAGACGCATTTATTGTCACCCGGATAATCTTTATTGAATTGAAACTGAATCTACGAAACAGAACAAAGCAAGATGTACAGGACTTTACATACAGACAAGTTGTGAGCATATTTGCAGATGAAAGGCCACCAGGTCGAACACATGCGAAACCGGATATTCAATTGCACACAAGCTGTTAAGTTGAAGAGTTTACTACTGTGATAGTAACTGCTACTTGACAGCGTTATAACAATCATTCAACACTTAAATATTAAATATTTCATGATTTACTTGCCAGCGCAGTTTAGAGCAAATGTGATGGATGCATTTCTGAGAATACACACCAAAAAGTCGCATTTTTTGTCTGAAGTTTACAGAACGGTTGAATCTTTAACATGAAGTCTGACTGGAGTAGTATTTCACTGATATTTCTGCAAGTGCTCATGTTTAACTGAAGCGTAGCCTGTTAAATGCAGGATATTCATTTTACTGGCTGATTATAAATAAAGAAAAGGGCGGAGTCAGCTTGGGTGGGAGGGGAGGAGTTTAATAGGAACGGATTGCAGGAGGAATGGCGGCGCAGTCTTCAGCGTCCAGAGAGCTGTCGATCACGGGTCTGTACTCCAGAGTTACCTGAAACACACATTATTGTTAGCTCATTGATAGCACTGTATGAAGACTTGCATAAAGGATTTAAAGCAGGGATCACCAAACTTGTTCCTGGAGAGCAATGTCCTGCAGATTTTAGCTCCAACCCTAATCAAACACACCTGAACAAGCTAATCAAGGGCTGTTTCTCAATATGCGCTCTTCTGCGGTCTTGCTTCCTCGTGTAACGTCATCATCAGCTGACAAAGTTCAGTTCCAATACTCAAGACTGTAAGAATGGAGGCCACGTGAAACTTCCAGGATGTGTTCTTGATATTGAGGACGCACAGATGCAGACTTGAGCAACGATCTCGCTCTGGAAGTCCCAGAAGTCATTGCGACTGGAGGTGTGAAGCGCAGCATTTTATTTAGATTTATTACTAAAGTTCAGAGTTATCATTTATTTACCTCAGGAGCTTCCCTAAATGAAACAGTGAAAGTAAACATCACCATGAACATCTTAATAAAGGAATAAACACATTAAGGGTGTTTGTTTGCTGAAATTCCTATTAAAATCTGTTTTATTTATATTGCGCAACGTATATTTATTATGTTTTATGCAAAGTATATATTTAAAAAAGGGGAAAAACAATAAATCGTTGAATGAATGCTGTAATGTTTAAATCATTTACTATTAAAACGCGTGAAGGTCATGTGACTACCAGGAAGAACACAGCATCTCATTCCTCAAAGGACGCGTTCTCTGCCCTCGCAGTCTCCTGAGTTCGCTCTACCGAGGAGATCGGTCAAGACCTGTCTCCACAAGAACACAAGTCCGTTCTCTGCCTTCATGGAATTGAGAAACAGCCATAGTCTTACTAGGTATACTTGAAACACTCAGGCAGGTGTGTTGATTCAAATTGGACCTAAACCCTGCAGGGCACCAGACCTCCAGGAACGAGATTGGTGACCCCTGATTTAAAGGGATAGTACACACCAAAATGAAAATCATTTGTGATCATTTAATGCCTCTTTGTTGTTCCAAACTCAAAATTTGTTAGTCTTCGGAATACATTTTTGCTTTTAATATGATGAAACAGCAGATATTGACAGAAAATTTAAGTTGGAGAGTGAGAGAGAAGGTGAGTGATAAATCTTTAAAATCAGAGAAATTTCTCTTACTTTATTTTATCTTGGCATGAATCAGAAGTTGCTGAGACTTTTATTTCAGTATGTTGATTTACTTTTAACTGAACGGAATATTTATATGCATCATTTCCTTTTAGCAAATGAACAGTAAGAGGGAAGAGGTTAAGAATATTGTGGCTGAAGCAACAAACTGACAAGAGATGGTCAAATCTTGATTAAAGATTAATAAAATGACCAAGATTAACTTGAACAGATTCATTACTTACCTAAAAAACAACAACATGC